CTTCTTTCTTTACCCCTTCCTCGGTTCATAGCCTTATTCATAGTCACGTGACGTCACTTCCCAAGGGAAACGCTCCCTTGGAGGGCAAAAAAGATGTTTTTGCTTGGAAGCAAGTGATACACTGTTATTTTGTTACTTTTCTGTTGCCAAAATTCCAGATAGTTGTTGTGCTATTGGATGCACTAATTGACGAGGTAAGGTGCAAGTTGATCGTGGGAAGGGAAATAAACCAGCTTTTGCTTTGTCTCTCCGGGGAGCCAGGTGTGAGTCGCCATCCTGGTCTGTTGCTCACTTGTTGCAGCAGCTCATATGGCTAAGAACAGACAAGTCTGGTGTTGTCTCGAGGTGGAGAAAAGGAAATCTGTTTGTGTTTAATCCTCTTTAACAAAGTCCATATTTGGAAGACCACAGTTCAACAAAAAGGCCTTATGATGTTCCTCTATCTGCCTGAGTTTACGGCGAACTGTTGTCACAAAAACTGATTCTGGAATGAATACCACGTCAGGTTTCTTCACAATATTTTTTGATGACAAACATGATTTGGAAACACTTATATCATCACCTTTCTGCACCTTCACATATGGCTGACAAATGTATTCATTCAACTACAAAAATAATGTTTTGCTGAAGCATAGCTTACTACTGAACACTGATAGAAAAAAAGACAGATCACAAAACAAATGTGATTAGTTGAAGTTGTCTGCTACCAGAATTTTAGTTGAAATGGAGGTTAAAATTCAGTATTCAATTCAGTAAAACAAGCAAGTTTCACACTGCAATCCAGCCTTGAAATTTAATGCTAGATTGTGATGGTCCACGTAACAAGAAAATGCAAGCTGTACATACTCACAAACAGCAAATAGCCATGACTCCTCTTCGAGTATGCATAAGATATTAAACTCATAGGTAATTGCAGAAGCTACCACAACTCTAGCTGGTTCCTCAGTGGTTCCTTGTTTCATGCGACTTGAGGTTAACCAAGCCGTGCATCACTAACCCTGACTGTTGGCTCATGTTTTACTCAAAACAGAAGTGCATATTGATCCAAGTCCCACAACACAATGTGAACTTGCATGTTGTTGCTTAAACTCTGTGCATCATTTCAATCCGGCTTCCGATACAAGCCTCTACAGCCGCTGCAAATTGCATTCACTACTAATACTTAATATACATTTTTTTTTCATCGTTGCTACAACATTATTTCTGAATTTTCTTTTTTTATCTTATGCTGTGTTGCTAACTGTAGTCAGGTGATGCATGACGTGGCGTTCAACACAAGTCAGCATTGTTCACACCGGGTGGTTCATGTGGTAGTCCTCAAAATGAGTTGGGTGCCCATCCCCCCAGCTCTGTTTGCCACCCGGTCAGTCAGCCGCCCCCCCACCTGCTGCTGAAAGTCACAGTCCACTCTCAAGTAAATTAGGTCCCCAAACAACTCAGCATGACCTCGCATCAATTTCCTGAGGGCACGGTCACACATGCGAAATTAATTCCCGTTCACTTCCATTCAATGCAAGCGAAGAGGGTAATAAAAAAGTTGCTTCTGGTGGGAAACTAAATTCACATCTTCGGAGTTGTATTTTCTCACAACTGATCTTGTCCAAAGAGCTACAAACCAGCAAACTGACATCCTGCACTGCCCACATTCACTATGACAAGATTTGAATTTCCCCTCTGCAGGCGATGTTCACTGGCCTGCATTCGCACATATGAAACAATGCCCTTAACTAAACTACAACCATGTACTGATGAAGGATCAGGAAGAACCCGTCGCGTCTGACTGCAAACACAGCATGTTTGAAGGAAACCAAACCCACAAACAGGAATACCCCCTCTATCGAGCTAACATCTGCCATGAAGCTTGATGGTGAACTTAAAAGTGCTATCAAACTATGTGAGCATTACTTTTTTATACTTTAACCTTAGGGAACAGTTTAAGGAAAGCAAGGGCATCAAAAATGCTGTTTTGTCAGTTAATATAATTGATAAAAATTGGATAAAACATTAACATCCAAAAGTCCTAAAATACCAGCATAAAAAAGAAAAGTAAAAGAATCAAACCCTAGTTTGTGGTAGAAACTTTCTGTAGCAAAAAAAAAGGAGAACGATACAATGAGCAAAGTGAGATGTGACAAATCTGACGTGCATAAACATGTTTAACATATGTTTGTACTCAGCTGATACAGTGGCCTGATTCTGGAAAGAGTTAAAGGCAGTCTCCTGCAATTTTTGGAAGTTGTAAACTGCATGACCCGGGGGTTGTCAGTCATATGGAGGAGATCCCGTTCTTTTATCCCTCCCCAGAAAAAATGAGATAATGCATTCCATCTTAAGTAGCTCCATACGATGTCATGGAAAAACTACATACCTGTTCAGTCATTTTGATGTAGATGGAGTATGGTGACAATTTTGACCCTGACAATTTGTTGAACCCCTGCTTTCTTTTACATTTAACAGCCAGGGAAGGTTTTCTTAAATAAGCTGTGCATTACGAACTTGCTACGGTTGAAGTTGGGGCTGTACCAATTGTTTTGGGGGGTTTTGTATTCAAAGCTTCTATAAACAGTAAAGATGTCTTACAATTTCTTGTTTTATTCCAACCTTTCTTGATCAAAACAGTGATTTAACACAGAAAAGTAGTAACTCCAAACTGTTGAGATTAGAAAAGAGATAATGTTTCCCATTTTGCCTGATGAAAGGCTTAAATGATTTATCGATTATGAAATATTTTGAAAATTAATTTTCTGTCACTTTCATAATCAATCGAGGTGGTGTGTGCAATTCTGGAGAAATTCAATACCACGACAAATACCATGATATACAGCGAACAACGACACAGCATGTAAAGTAACTAGCATTAGTTGTGTAAGTTGTGCAAACTGTGGCTACAATTGCTGCTGCAAAGCTTACATGCAGAGAGGACGAGACTGTTCCAGAGCCAGAACACCAGCTCCAGACAGATCTCCTGTAGTTAACAGCACAACATGTCTTGGCAAACTAGAAAGTAAGCTGAATGTCCATGGGCAAGTCATTAAACGTTACCCGACGGCCCAAGACACTTTCTCATTTACAGAGCAAGGGCGTACACAGAACTGGAAGCTACAGTGAGGAGATATTAGCTGAATTTTACAAAATAACCAGTAGTGGATTAGAAGTGCATACCCAAATTAAGGTTGGGGTATGACCAAGTTACTTCTCTCTCCTTTTTATGAAGGTTTTCTTGTAATCTGGTCATAGGTGGTAAGTACTTAGATGATCCTTCATTCCTAGTATTATACTTTTTTGTAGACAGGGATGTGCCCTTCAGCTAAGTTCCCATTACCAACAATAGTCTGTACCTGTAGGAGTTTATGGTTTAGTTGTTTGGTCCATAAAGATCAGAAAATGGATATATATTATATAGACCACAGTCAGTGGACAGACCACTGAAGTGGCTACAACCCCTGCTGAGATAATGTTTGAACCATGACCATATATGCTCTAACATACCCCCGACATGCTTTAAATGGCCATCAACGGAAGGCCCGTCATCCATGATTCATATCTGACAAGTCGGGGTAAATGCCTGGTGTTGAGTAATGCAGAGTGACCCTGCAGCCGGCCCCGGACACTCCTAGCCGAGCAGAACTGCTCACTGTGTTTAATCATTACAACAATGTAACTAAGGGAAGTGACTCAGTGATCTACAGGGAGCTGGCTCTGGTCTTACAGACATGTCTCCCCTCATGTCTACAATTATCAGGCCTGGTGAATATTATGTGCATCCATGTGATCTGTACATGCTGTACAAGATTAAAGACATATGTGTTTTCGCACCTCGATACGGTGCTGTTGCTATGTCATTACGATGCTGTCTATAGAACTAAATTAGGCCTTGCAGCAAGAACTTGGTGAGCACTGATTACTAGTTCAACAAATCAAGCTTCTCCCTGAGATTAACAAGGGAGAAAAAAAGCACCCCCTCAGGGTGAAGTTCCTTTACAGGAAGTGAATAAGACAGGCAAGAACAATCTTGTTCATGTTAAACGCTACAGTCAACAGTCCAGAATCAGAGCTGAGGGCAAGGCTGAACAAGAGACTTTAGATTCTGGTTACCCAATCTGGCCTGCTTTAAGTCATCTTGGTCTTACTGTATCTTTAACCACAGTTTATACAGTCTCTAATGCAGTTTGACCAGACTGGGCTTCAGCTGGTTTGTTTTAGGATAGTCTTTACAAGTCAAACTTCACTCAAATGTTTGCGACTTTGGCCCGCAAAAGGGATGCTGCTTGGCTTTCTTCTTCATGAATGTTTTGCTCATAAAGTAACTTATAAGACATCTTCGTACATGAACAAACACAAACGTTAGAGACATCTGAAATGTTTTTTTGTGTGTGTGTGTGTGGGGGGGGGGGGGGGGCACAAACTGAAAAATGGCTGGTTGGACAAATGGATCCAAGTGATTTAACAGCATTTCTAAAGAATACCAGATGGCTTTGATATAGAAGCTTCACTTTCCAGGAAAGGAAAAAATATATATATATATATATCCTGATTGATGCATTAGCATTAGCCAGTATTTCAGACAATAAGAAGCCTTCACAAAACCACACCTTTCTCATAAATAGTGTAACTAATTAAAATACGGTGTTAATAGTTCCACCACCTTCTCTGGCTTTAGCCACCCATACTGCCCTCTTTGGTCATACAAAGCGTCTCAATGGCCTACTTTCTGTACAAAGCCCAAATTAAGATTTATTGAGCATGAGTTGTAGCCAGAACTATGCCAACATTTCTCATGTCATGCTGTTGAAAAGCCGTATTGTATAAGGGAATTAATACAAGTGTCTTTCAACCGCTAGCTAGTTATCGTTAACGTTAATCCACACCCAAAGTTTGCCCCTGAAGACGGGCATTCCTTGCTGCTCCCCTTTTGTCGTGTACAGTGTGTTTTCAGTCGCCTTAAACGTGGCAGACAGGTTAAATGTGACCAAAGAAGGTTAAAATATAACAACACTTACCTTATGCTGATGTTATACTGGCGTTTCAGCTGGTTTACAATAACATTTGCCCCTAAAGTGCCCTCTTTTAAAGGAAAAAAAAAACGGTTAGTGAGGCGAAGAGCCTCAGCTAAAACTGTTATGAGGGTCCGCTTTGTTTTAGCTAACGTTAAAAATAAACCGCACCGCTCAGACGTGCCCCCGTACGTAACGTTCCCAATCACAACCCGTCAACGGCTACCTTATTAAAACTAATATTTTTGAATATGGGATACGTTAAAAATGACATAAGTGGCGAGGAGTCCCCGGCTCGCCCTAACACGTTACAGCCTCAGCTCTGGTGCTGCTGCTCAGTGGTTTTTTTTATTGCTCACTTCAACAAACCTCCTCTTCTTATTTAGACCCCGCCCACACAGGAAGAGACACGGGACGCTGAGGGCAAAAGAACAAACACTCTTCGGGGAACAGTGAACCCGTCCTCACCTCGGATGTGGTGCGCGCGCGCACGTACATACACGCGCACACATATAGGTGAAAAGAAACACCTTATCATGCATTTACATCTGGATAATGGATGTAAGTAAATAACTTTATTCAAATATTGTAGTTCAAGTATTTTACATAAACATCAACATAACATTGAAAAAAAAAAAACTCCATTACAGTACTATTATCAGCAGCTAGTTCCAAAACAATGTTTTACATCAGTGTAAAATATGATTTATTGTTATATATTTAACAACACAAACAGAATATAAAGTAGCCTAAACAAAATTAGTAAAAAGCCTCATAAAAAGTACCACAAAATTTAACAACTTAACATTTCCACCACACTGTTTAGACCACCTGTTTATCTGCTGCGTTTAAGCTGTTCTGCAGGCACAGGTATCACCCTCACTTCCTGTGCAAACTGAGAAAGCAGTGTCAGATAAAGAGTTCAGTTTCAGTCATTTAAAAAGTCAGGTTTTCCTTTTTCATTTCACACAACAGACTTGGAGCTGCCAAATCATTTTCATTTTTCTGGTTTTAAAGAAGGTGCCAGTCACCAACTTGTGAGATAAGGGGCTGGCATGGAGGACTGGAGTAGACTTAAGACATTTTACTATCTCTGGTGCCTATCAACGGGTATACAGACCCAGTGGTGATCCCAAAACATGCAAAGATACCAAATATGTCAGGCTGACGTTTGTGTAAATGTGTACTAAATGATGCACAACACCTTTAGAATATTTTCTTTTGATGGAATGGTAGAGTCACAAAAAACATGGAGTCTAAGGTTTCAATATTTCACTGCAAATGTTATATACATTACACATGATGGACCCTCCAAGGCCCAGCCAGGCTGGTTCAGCAGACCCTACCACATCAGCAGTGCCTGTTCACTACAACGTCTTCACAGATTGCTGAACTGACGATGAACGGTCCAGAAACTGTGGCAGGTGGACGTGCTGCCATATGGGAGTGACAAGCTAGTTGTATGGTCAAAGGCCATCATCACCAAGCCCTTAGGCTATACATGGTCTAATATAGTTGATGAGGACACAGTGATGCCAAATGTCTTCTTAATGGGACACTTAAACCCCCTTGTTCATTGGATAGCCTACACCACCTGTGGGAGTGCACCATCAGGTGGTATATCCTATGAGCAAGAGACTTATCATAAGGAGATGGAAATACTGCCAAATTCTGGAGGACCAGTTCTGGGTAAGTTGTATTAGGAACAACTTGCCCACCCTCTAACTTTACAGAACAGAAATGGCAAGACACCCCAGAAGACCACGCCCCCTTTGGTGGATAAACAGCTCACCAGGGCGAGTTGGTCCATCAAAACGATCACCATCGGAGAGCAGAAAGTCATGTGAGATCAGCTGACATTCGAGTAAAGGACCGAATCTAAACCTATTTATCTATTTATAGGGGAAAACTGTACATGTTTGGATTTTTTTGGGATCATAACAAAGGGATGAGGTTACATCACTCACAATAAATCATTTCAGAAGTAAAATAAAATTCAAATAATACATTAAAGGAATTATGCTGCATGATATAAAGAAAATGAAAGTAAAATTAAACATTTTAGCTAAATAAATTTAGTATAGACAAGTTGATAAGCAAAGACGTACTGTAATTATATGTTAACTTAATACAATTTTAGAAAAACAAAAGGAGAAGCATTGAGGTACGTGGGGAATAATCAGTAAAGCACCTTAATTACTTTTGCCTAATCCACATAGTAACATTAACCAAAATGTACATTTTTTTAACCTCTGTTTCCCTAAACTAGACAGACATATGTTGAAAAAGACACTTCCCTCTTTAAGAATGTAACAGCGAAGGAACTGAAGTAGTCAACTTCCTATATTTAGCCTCTAAAATAAAATGTATGATATATGTAGCAGCTGATGCTGCCAGCTGGCCAAATGACACATGAAGTCACCATCTCCATTACACATCTTTACATCACTGCACAATTATCCTGCCACATGCCCCTGATAATCCATCCAGGGAGAGTTTGCTGAGCACTCTTTAGACCATACCATGCAGGAACCTTATCATAGTGATAGTGTGTTTTAGGGGTGAAAATTTGCAATTTATCAAATTACCACAAACCAACTGACACACAGTGAATAATGCACATTTGACAGTCCAGCCTTGATGTCAGAGGAGTTATTACAGTTTCAGTTCAGTTTTACAGTTTTACAGTTTCAATTGCTAAGATGCAATGGTCAAAACTGAAGCCACTTTTTCAAAACTCTTCACACAGTCTGCATTACCAACATGCATCTTGGCCGAACAGTTAATCTCACTTCCAAAAGTCACTCAAACCACCAAAACACTTCATACAAGTCACAAACTAAACTCAAACCACAACAGCCAAAACACTGGCAACAATTCTCACTCAGAAAGCGTACATTGTCACTCATAACACACTGACCTCCAAAACACTAACAACAGAAAGCATTACGTAAGTTTGATGAACTTTTATATTTGAATTATGAAAGATTTTTTCATATAAATCACTATTTTATTATACAATACAGTTTTTTCTCAGATCTTATTTCAGAATTGAAATTCTCAAAACTACTTGTTCAACCTCCACATTATCTAGTTACTTGTGCATACCGTAAAAGCAATTTCTCATTCTTTTGAACGAATTGAACGTTCTTTGGAATTGTATGCTGTTTTCTACATTATCAATTGTTTATGTCATGTTAATCACAATGGATTAAACCGGTTCTCTGTTGAATAGGCTTACCCCCCAAAACATCTAGTCATTAGTTTATTGTGTAAGTCACTACATGCAAAATGGTTGAACACGTCATAATGTGCAAATAATTTTTTCTTGTAATTGTGTCCTATAGTAAATTGATAAAGATATCTGTTGTGATGTGAATATGAATCTGTGGTCCAATAGACAGGAACATCAACCTTAGGGGGTGTTTCCATTTTTTACATTTCTAATTCTGTAATTGTTTCTGTTATGTTATGCAGTGCTGTAAAATAGTCTTGTTTTATTTTCTCCATCACAATGACATGCTCTGTCAGCAAATTACAGTTCATACAGTAAAAGTGAAACTGTGAATCCTGACCAATCTCTTGCAGTGTTTACTGTAACTCTGTACTGTTCAAATTGATCTATGCCATACAGAAAAAGTGCAGCCTTGTGCTTTTTCAATCATTTTCATCCAAACCTTAGCCCTACTTTACCAATACAAATAGTTTTGCAAATGTTAAGCATGATTGTAGAAATGTACCAAAGCGCCTGAGAAAAACTGTAAGAATAACATACTTTCACTTTACAGTTTTTCTCATTTGCTAAGACACACTAAATGAAACTGGGATCCGCTTGATCTTCATCATCACATTATTAGAACAGCAGAAGTCTTCTCTTGCAAATGTTTTAACACTTTTTCATTTGTTTCACACATTTCACACCCTTTGTCAAAACAGTTACCATGGATCTCATTGAAACACCCCAAACTCTATTGGATTCACTGTGTTGAACAAAAGGAAAACATCTAATCACAGCTGATAGAAAATCAGTCCTCATCCATCTATAAAAGATGCCACCTCTGTGTTGCTATTTGCAAGCATGGGTCATGGGCCATGGGCACGGAAGAAGAGCAAGAGGCCATGGCAGAGGGGCCCGAGGAAGAGGAGTATGTATGCGCGGTGGAGGAGCTGCAGCAGCAAGAGGACGAAATCGAGCTCAAGTTTCAAATGAAATTCAGGCAACAATTATTGACCATGTCATCAATCATGGCTTGTCCTTTAGAGATTTTGGACAAAGGGTCCAGCCCCTTCTGAGTCGGAGCACTGTGGCATCTATTGTCAGGCTTTTTCGGAATGAGAACAGGTAATTCACAGTGTTACTGTAACGTATACCACTGTGTATTTCAGCTTTACTGTATTGCCCTGTTAGCAGAACAAACTGTGTCTACAGTAATGCAGGTGTTTTATCAATCCCATTTACAGTGGGTACGGAAAGTATTCAGACCCCTTTAAATTTTTCACTCTTTGTTTCATTGCAGCCATTTTCCAAAAATCATAAGAGTTCATTTTATTTCTCAGTAATGTACACTCAGCACCCCATCTTGACAGAAAAAAAACAGAAATGTAGAAATTTTTGCAAATTTATTAAAAAAGAAAAACTGAAATATCACATGGTCATAAGTATAATGTATCAGAAATGCAGACATTTCCTTCAATATCCTTTATTTTGCATTCTGTAATTTACTTGTGAAAAATAAAGAGGTTTAAAAATAACTAATTCCTGAAATCCAGTGTTGCAATACAGTCTTTCTCAGTTGTTTACATGGTAACACTGGTAATAGACACACAATGACCGCAACGGGTAATTCATGTACAAACCCCCTGAACCAATTATGTACATTTCCTGCTTTACACACATAGTTTTAAAAACCACATTCCAAAGACTACACACATTTCTCTATGCACAGGGATGTAAACATAAAATGTGCGTAAATGTTAGCTAAGCTTTCCCATATAATTCTTTCTGGTTGCTGCAGAAAAGCAGGACATTTGCCATCTTTCTGTTTTGAACAGTTTTGGACACAGTGTGTTAGCATTTAAAAAATGTGCTGCAGATATACGGTGTTTTGCAGGTGGTGAAGCAGTAAAGACAAAAGAGTTCATGGATCTTGGAGAAAGTGGTCACTGAATGCATTTTGTGTGAAAGAAATGAAAAATGATTCAGTTTGTGTAATTATATTGTTTATCAAAATTGACAACTATTGATGCAACTTGAGAAAAAGCTCATATATATTCATTGTAGCTCTCTGTGTGCCGAGTCAGGGGGACAGCAGAGGTGAACGGTGGAAGCAAAGATACTTATTGTATTGTTCAGTACATTTAATGTACATTTGCACTGTTACACTGTGTTTGCACTAGTTCGCACCACATATGTTATGTTCCAAATGATCAAAAGTACAATAATAGCTTTTCTTACCTTAAGCATGCTTCATAAATAACAACTTTGTGGAGAAACATGTCTGTTTATTTGTGGCTTTTACACAAACAGACTTTTGTGTAACTTAACAAGTCAGTGCTGCTTGAGGAGTAACAGCACTGAAACTCTTTGCAACACAGAAACTAGCAGGTTATGGGAGTGGTATAGAGTGGCACCACTTTGGCAGGAAACCTCATCTCAACCAAAGCCACTTGACAAAGTTTCACATCAGACTGAGCCACTATGAGGTGGTTGTGGAATGCACTTAGTTTCTGTCACTGACAGATTCTGCTGCTATACGTAAATGTCTGGAGAAGCAATACTGTCACTCTGTGGTCAAAGCATGGTATGGCATGCAGACAGTGACACTTCCAGTGATTACTGCACATATACAAATGCCACATTTAAGACTGTTTCCGATGTTTTGCTTTGTTACATGTTTGTCGGTTTTAGTCTTTACTCTTTATCCTTTGCTGTGTTCCAGTTTTAGACAACATCATTCTAAGCAGGTTGAGTATTTAGTGAGTTCACACCGTATAGCTAAATAAAACAGATTTCTGAATACTATTTTTATACTCTATAGACCCCCACTGCAGTGCACAATGGTAACAGAGGAGCAACCCACACCTGCAAAATATTAAAAGTAATTGTAAATTATGGTGAAAGCAGCACACGAAAGGTTTTGGAAAACAAAAAATTGACTTTTTAAAATATTTGCAAAAATAGTTGGCAAAACAAGGTCCATTCATTGCTGTGGAGCTTTCGACTGTATCATGAGACCTCCCTCAGGAGATGAAGGTTGCCCAGTTGTCAAAGAATAGTAGAAGTTCAAGGAAAATAGGTTTAAATTATGAACTCCATTTAGCTGACATGCCATGTCATGTTTCAGGGTCCTAGTATTGTGCATGATGTCTCACTGTCACACATTTTAATGGCTTACTGGGACAGTAAAAAATGTCTGCTTAAAAATGCTTATTAGTAGCTGTTCACTAACAAAGATCGCGCCAGTGTGAGGTGTGAAAATGGGTAATTTATTCAGATAATGAGGAGGAATTGGCTTGGTCTAGTTCCTGAACTTTAGTTGTAAGAATTATCGAGCTTTTGAGCATCTTCCACTGGGAAAAGCTTCATCTGCTGAAGAAAATCTTGTGAAATTGTTTGGCCAACTGCTGTTTTTAAGGTCAAGAATGAATTTTAAATCTCAACTTTAAAAAATATTGTGCTTCTCTGTGTGGACAGGCTTTCTGAAGTCACAGTTGGATTGAGATCAAACAGTAAATTACATTCATTTCTTGTACAATAACTGTAAACAGAAACAAGAGTATACACTATTGGTACATAGCCTATTGTCATTGAACTGGGGGCACATGCACATTGACATTACCTAGAGGTTTTACTCACCACTCAAAATTCTACAGATGATAACTTCACCACCAATATTATTATGCCATAATATTATAAGCAGAATATAGTTGGTTTAATTATTTATTTCTTGCTGAAAAATATGTTTAAAAGTGTGTTAATTGCTAGCTAGCATAGCTCTAAACTGGTAATTAGCACTGCTTTCCTTGTGACTTTTCTGTGCTTCACTGTTAGCTAGCTGTCTAAGCTAGCAGCCTACTTCTCAGAACGTCTAACTATTCCTTTAATCTTAATTTCCTTATGCCTGATGCTTAGAGGTTGAGTAACACCATGTTTTACCATTTACCTGGTAGTGGTAACGTTATCAGCCTGACAGATAGTTTTTGGTTTTACTTGCCCAGATTTTGAGATACCTGAGATATGCACCCTAAAACAATGGAATTCCATTTATGATGCTTAAGTGTGTGACAAATAAAATTTAACAATAACATGTATTTATGAGCAAAATGTCTCCAATTCTTAGGCTAATCCAAAGAAGATGTTGTTTTTGGGACTATTTCTTCAATAAAAGGTAGTTCCAATGAAAAAAAAATGGGCAAATTAAACTTTAACTATCTGAATCACCTTATACCATAGATTTGTAATATGGGCAAACTGACCCTTCATAGCAAACTATTCTCTCTGAGGTAGGAAAGAAAAAGCAGAGCAGCTTTTACTTAAAACATTTATTCGATCCAATTCTTTGGAATGTAATAGTCAATGATCAGAGTCTGAGACGACAGAGAAGGATGAGTCTGGGTGCTGACCAGAAAGTCAAAGTACAAACAATACTTTTAGTCACTTAAGGCCTCACTGCTTTTCCATTTTTTTTACTTCCTTATTTTCTTTCTTGTTTTTTTTTTTCTGGATTGGGGACAGCAAAAATTACAGAAGCAGTATTGAAAATAAAACATTTTTTGTTGTCATACAAAGAAAAAAAAAATGGCACACACATCAGTGACAAAAACACAAGGTGATATTATACCAAGTAAATAAAACTGTTACATTTCAAAGAGATATAAGCTTTTTCGAGAATGAAAAACATCTCTGTAAATTGTACTTTTCAGAATTATAACATTGTCATCTGAAACTGTGTTAAAAAGAAGCAACAATAACACTGTGTTCTCCTTCCTTCTCTCTCTCTTCTCATAAATCAACATCATAAACACAGATTTTTTTTTAAATATATCAGTGCAACATTTGTTTTTACATCTAGTGCTGCAGCATCCTTTCTTGTTTAAAGGGGAAGGAGCTTTTTGATGTCAGTCTGAAATATTAGAAACACATTCTGTCAGACTGAAATTACATTTTGATTCCCATAATCTTGTCTGGTTCTTCTGCTGTAACCATATGTAGTTGATATTATACAAAGACGATTGAACCAGTGTGATTTTCAAGAGCTAACAATAATGAACATCTCAAGAGTCAGAGCACCTTTGTTTGATTGGAAATGCTCTCTCAGTCGTTACAGACAATAATTTGATTTAAACTGAACCACTTGAGGCGGTGGATTTTCTTTACAACAAAAACTGATAAAATGAGAGTTTCTAAAGCCTCATCAGGAAATAATTGAGAATGCATGCTATATTGACTACTGAAGAACAGTCTCACTTCACATTTTGAGCTCACATGATGCCACATAATGCTACATTAAAAATGGGCAGATCTTACAGTGTTCTCCCAGTTGCCAGAGGCAATACGTCAAACTATCATACCTGCTTAATGGCTTTATAATATTTGTAAGTAAAGGATCTGTCAGTTTTACTCAGGATAAACAGACATTCAGCAAGAACTGTCCTGTATTTTATCACAGAGTGAACATATAACATCTGTTGGAGGTTGATAAGGTTGTTCATTGATACCAATGAGTTATTGACTGGTGAAATTTCTGGCTTCAAAGACTCAATCCTCTCACCTATACAGTGCTATGAACAAGTCACCAGTATCACAACACATTTAGCTACAAAAGCTAAAACACAACAAAGCAGTATTAGTACAGTATTTATATGGCTCGTCGTTTTCAGTTTTAAACCAATTTTTCACTGAAAAATACCCAAATGTTTTAGAAGGAATCAGTTTAAAGTGATTTCATCCAGGAATTTTAAGTTGCTAAGAGGACATTGATCACTGTTGATGACAGGAAATAAGGCCCTTTTGCAGCTTTGATAGCTAAATAAATCTCTTGCAAATAGAGATGAGTAAAATGGGGAATCCCACAGAAAAAAGTGAAGAAACATGCAAAAAACAAAGACAGAGTGCCTTCACTGCAAATTACCCTTTCTAAAGTCCAATTTTAAGATTTCTTTGAAATAAAGAAATGAAAAGAATGAGCCCTGTGGTTTTACAAGGCATTCCTGTTGGGTTGCTGCTCTGATTAGCTAGTAAACTCATCTTTGTTATGAAAATGTGACTGAGTGTTATTTCCAGGACACTGCCAAGAATTGGACAGTATGATCAGCTGCAATTAGTCACCTGTTGGGGTTGTTAAACATCCGTTTGCCCCATCAAATATTTCTCCTCTGATAGTCAACACAAGAAAAACACTGACATGTCATGGCAAACGTTAATTCTTGATTTTTCAATCATTCAGAGCCTCCACAGTTCAATAAAAGATGCCAATGGACCTGGTGAGACTTGAAGTCTTTCTGATGGCTTCCAGGCTGTTGGACACACTTCTGCTTAGAGGTTTAATTCATTCATTTAAGTCATTTTGTGTGCCAGTAAGAAATGTTAGCCATTAGCAATAATATAAAATATTTCAATCCAGATGATCCATCCTTGACGCACTGTCGTCATCTTAGTGGTACTGAGGTTGTTCATTTTACCCTGTACAAAAACTTCACTTCCCGTAAGCCATTTCACATAATCTCAAAGCTATTTCCATCCTTTTAAAAACCTTCCTGTTCCCAGAGCACAAATAGAAACAACGACAAAATTCACAAAACGTTAACCAGATCATATTTGTAAAAGAAACACAAACAACATGTTTTCTTAAAATTAATATTTTCTGTACATTTTCAGATTTTTGGAGATTAGGGCAAGTTTGATTCCAACACAGAAAGGATACTGCGGCACTGGTGTCTTTTTCTATAGAAAAGGGTGCTCAAATATATTAAAACCTATATACAATGTGTTGGATGCGTCATGTGCCATGAAAACGAGGCATTCAGGGCTCCTACACATTTTCCATTCTGAAATTCCAGAGTTTTTCCAAAGCTTTCCAAAACCTAAATGTTAACTGCCTAACTTGGATTTTAACGTTTTAATGGGTGTAAGTACGACTGTCATCAAGGCCAGATCTTCAGATCTACACCAACACATGCGCTATTTGACAGTATACTACAATACCAACCATTTGTAGTTGTGTAATCACTTTTCCACATGTTTGTGTAGGAACCCTGGACGGAACGCCAGCCGATGAGAAAAACAACCAGCAGAAAACAAGGCAACAGAAAAAAAAAAAGGCACTGTCGGAACTAGACATAGGTCACGATGGTACCCGCTTTCACACACACACAGACACACACAAACACACACAAACACACAGACACACACACACACACACACACACACACGGAAAGATGCTTGCACTTCATGTATACAGACAAACACGAGTGTAATGCACACATATACGCCTACAGCTAGACACATACACACCTTAAATGCAGATGTATATGAATGTGACACACACACACACACACACACACACACACACACACACACACACAGACATATGGCCAGCTAAAGAGCCCCAGATATCAGAAGAGCGATTTTCACATACACCGCTCTTTCTGTGAAACTATGACATCTGAAAAAAGACCAAAAAAAAAACAACAACAACAAAATAAGTCTAATCTTATCTTTCCATAAAAGTACAGAAACGATACTTTCATCTGAATTGGTCTCAACACCAGCATGTGATTACATAAACTCAACAAAGCACACCGAAAAACAAATAGAATCCTTAGTTTTCTTCTTTTTTTTTTTGCTGTACAGATTCTTTATACACAGTGCCCCCTACAGGTCAGTCCATTCCACTGCCGCTCCTGAGAAAAAAAATTACATTGGCTCACTTTCAGCCCACCCTGCCGTCCCATTGGTGGCTTCAGCCCTGTGTTCCTCCTGCTTGATTGGCTGCATCACGTGTCCATGCGGAGCAAGCGCAGCTCCGTCTCTCTTTTCCCCTCACGCTTCTGAATAGTTAGTCTGTCCGTTCATCTTGTCCTTCTTTAGCTTCACGCCGTCCACCAGCTCAAAGTTATAGTTTTCCAGGGCAGATAAGTTTCTGTCTGTCATGCTGCCCTGGGAGCAGGCGCAGTACAGGACGACGCCGCAGATGGCGCCCAGAAAGACACCCAGTGCTGACATGGCGATGATGGTGATGAGGATGGGGTCCAGGGTCTTCAGCATGTTGCCTGGGCCACCGAGCTCGCTGTTCTCCTGTGAGAGGGAGTCCATCGCTGCGAGAGAGAAAGGAAAAGATGGATACAAGTTATAATCTATTCAAATGACTTGTGATTACAGGCTTAAAGGACCATACTGTTCTGGATTATACAGTAGTACAAAAGGCAGCCACAACTTCCATTTTTCTTTATTGTTGGTCTTCTGAGTTTGATTTCCCTACATTATAAATTTTGGAGCGCATTCAGCCCAGACAAAACGTAGCAAAACAAAAAAACACCCTGTTGTGTACATAATTGCATAGCACTGCCTTTTTAATATGGCAACTGTTTATTTTAATGGATTGTCTATCTCAAGAAAGTTTCATGTATGTGCAGGTTAAAATGAGTAGTGAAACATATGCAAGTGGAGACGACTGGCTGCCTGGAAGATCAATGAATAGAAAATCTATGGTATGCTTCGGAAAACTGGTCTGCAGTAATGTCAAGTATATGTAGTTCATTTTTCTAAAACATGAAAATCCCCTCATGTGGTCCTATAAGATGTCAAAATAAATAAATTGTGTGTGACTCATAGATTGTGCAAGGACATACAGTACAAACATGTTTACTTTTTTGGAGAAGACAGACATTTTTCCTAGAGAAATCAAACACGTGTGGTTCCAAAACTCTTAATTTGGTAATAATTGATTGTTTTTCATTGTCATTGAATTTGTCTGACTCTGTCTGCAAACGCCACAGCTCAGGACTGGTCAATAGAAATTCTACCATTCTGGACATCCATAAGGACTAGGTGCGCCTTGACTGAGCTGAAATTTCATTTATCAACCATCTTTTTCAAAAATTTTGTCAACCTCGCTGTCTGTGGAGACCTGTCCAAAATGAACATAATGACACTGTAATGACCAAGTTTGAGTCAGAAATCCACTTACGTAGGATGAAGATCTCAGTTGGCGGAGACGTCGGAGCTTCTGGATCTGGAGGAGAAAAAACGTCTCCATCAAAGCAACTGTTTACAACACACAACTGAGAGCAGAGTAACATTTAGAGGAGCAGGGGAGGGAAGAAAAGCAACTTTATAAACTTTGAAACCAAAAAGACTCCTTTGAGAATTCAGCTCCTGCCCTGAGAATTATTTTGGGGCAGCTAGATCACTAGATAGTACAACAGTATAATGGTACACATTTGATAAACCGAGTGAGTCATAACTGTACAATACACACCCTTGCAGTCCTCAGCATTGAGTCCATCAATGATCTGGATGTTGTCCACAGCTATGTGACCTGCACTGCGTCTGTCTGCGACGCCCTCAACAACCACCTGCAAATAGCAACCCACAGTCAGTCAGTCACACGCATTCATTGAAACAGGAGCTTAAGATACTCAGCTTAAAATAGTCATTCTAGTCATTCTAAAACCAAACAACAAACCACCCAAACTGTACCTTTAAAGTTTTATATCAATGAAACAAAATACTAAGAAGAAAACAAATTTTATCCCCCTAAGTATTGCTTTTCTGTTGTTGAAAACAAGAAGCATCACTTCTTCTGACCTCTAAAATGTCTAAAATTAAACAATGTGAAAAGAAAATCACTATTTGGTTAAACTGCTGCAGGTAGTGGCACGGACCATAAGCCGCAATGTCCCTGGTTTGACTTCGGCCAATGACCTTTGTTGCATGTCACAATTTTTACAGAGCACTTTTCAAAACCCGATTTAGTGCTTCACACGAGGCAGCATATTAAAATGAAAAATTTATAAAAGCATTACATTTTATGAACAATTCCAGCTATGTAAGATAAAAGTAAAAAAAAGAAACAGGAAATTAGACAAAAAGACTAAAGCTCTGAAAGTCTGATTTAAGAAGAGATTTAAAAGGTATTACTGTCGGAAAACCTGATCTCCTCATCAGCATTCCACATCTCTCTCATCTTTCCAAGATTAACTAAAAGCATAATACTCCCAAAAATATATTTTTTAAAAAATTGATTAAGACACTACTTATATAAGCAGGGTTGAGGTTGGGAACCACTGTTTTACATGTTCAATATACACAGTACAACCTATTTACCTGAAAATAGCTTATTTATGCTTTTTTTTGGCAGTAATGTAGAAAATATAAAGTAAAGTAAAGCTTAACTTGCATCAGATATGGGGTGATACAAAACATGGTTGAGAATTTATCATTATGTTTTGTTCATCCATCCATTTTCTATACAAGCTAATGCAAATTTGAGTTTTCTCTTTTCCACTAACTATGTTTTTCAACTTATGGAGGAAACCAGAGCAGCCAAGACCATGTGTCTGCAAGGCAACTTTAACCTCTCTGTACACACTTTGTGCTTTTCCTACTTTTATTTTATTTTAAGTTTCCTGGTTTGCTGTCTCTTTCTTTAAAACTCGTCAAGGCTTTACAGATGTCAATTATGTCAGTTTTAGGTAAGATATCAGCACACCAACAAAAACTGTCCAAATGGAGAAGGGATGATCTAAAAATAACAATATACTTGTCTCAAATAGAGAGCTGGGATCAACTTTAAGAATCATTTACAGTACTTTTTATCCTATAAAAGGACAAAATGATCTAAACTAAGGTGATCTAAATCACAAACAAGATTCAAACCCTCTATTTTGCTTACGTTACATGAAAATCACTAATAAAGTGATGTATTATTGACATATCTGGGTCTCTCTAGTACCTGATATGAGACACTCGAGTGTGGCAGTAAAACTCGTCCCTCCCTCCACCGGCTGCCCTGGTGACCGCTGACCGTCCACATGATCTGACCCCCCTCAGCCTCCTTGCTCTGCTTGATGTGAAGCGCTCCCGCGTGTTCACCGAACATGTGATACCAGAAGGACATGCACAGGTCGGTGTCCGTTGCGGTGATGGGCAGGCTGACCAACCTCGCCACCTTGTCCTCATCATCATCATCCTCACCGGTTTTACTTGGTGGGTCTGTGTCGCTCAGCTGCATGTAGATGAAGTTCCCTGGTCCGCCTGCAGGGGGCAGCAAAAGACAAGGTAAGAAGTGGCTTTGTGCTGCGTTAAGGGCCTCCTGACAGCGTGAGAACCCATTGCAGCAGATCTGGTGACTCTTCATAATACTATTTCAAAATAAGAGCTTAAAGAATGTAAAAATACAGTCAGAAATGCTGTTTTCTGTACATGCTTTCTGTTAATATGATTAAATCAAGCTTAATTGTGACAATGAAAGGTTTCCAAAACTAAAGCATTCATTATGCATTTACTTCTTTGCATTCAGATAACGGCTTAATGTAAATACCTGTCTGTTCCGTTGCCAGTGTTTCACTGTTATTTCATGAAGTTAAAACACATCTCATATCTGTATAATTATTTAGTATCACGCTTCACACATTCCCGAAGACATAACATTCAAGGACTTTGCATGGTTTTTGACAACAACTCAATATCAGCATGTTTCATGGGAAGATATGACTTGACATCACAAAGGGCTCTTTTTATTATTTTATTTTTTACTTGTGATCTAGTTAAGTCAAGATATCAAGGTTAAACCATTCATTTTAGAGCTGCTGCTGTCTCCACAAAAAACATCCATCACAAGAGGTTTGAATTGAGAGAAGGACAGAGAGCTGAGGCACACTGATAAATCTGAGTGCTGTGTTCTTTAAAAAGTCAAGTTTCTCAAGGCCATCTCTTCATTTTCAAAGTGTTTTAAGGCTCAAAGCATCTGCAAGTTCTGCTCTGTTCTATTCAATAGTGCTGACTATACTTTATATTCATAGTCGGTTATGAATTAACTGTATACTGCTGATGTTTTGGGGGTTAGCCTTATTAGTTATGGTTTTGGATTGGTCTTGTTAATATTTGTGGATTTAGACAGCTGTTTGTTGTTTTAAGGTGCCATTTAGGTCGTTTTTACAAATGTACTAGACGTTTATCTCATGATTTTGATAGCATTTCTGTTTAATTCTTATTTTCTTCCATACTTTGTGTTCATGTGTCATCTGTCATATGTTATTTGTCTGTAACTCTTTTTGTAATTAAATAAAGGAAAGAAATGCAAATGATTTGGTTACTTGCTTATTAGTGCCAAGATAATGTTGTGTACAACTCATTCATCCATAAAAAAACATGAAAATTACAGCGCTCCCATTCTAATCAGCCAGCGCTGATTACCCAAACACAGAAAATTAATACCCACAAAAAAGCCATAGAAAAAAAGGAAATAAAAACTATATTGTTAAAAACTGTTAAAAAGACCTATCCAAACAACAACAGTCTGAACTCGGATTTAAAAATTCAGGCAAACTTCCTATAAAAACACTATTTTTGGAAGATATGCGTCATTATTACTCGAGGATGTCCACGACTTTAATCTTTTGTCCTGCTCATGTCAAAAAATATATATCTTGCTCTATTTACCTTTATTTACACTGGTAACTAGCCCAGTCTGAATTAATTTCACCTGTATATCTGTAGTGTTTATGCCTGGTGAAGTCCCCGTCAATATGGACCTACTTATGGAATGATCTGCTTCTGGTCTTTGGTCTGTCTCAAAATGAATAAACGATTTAGTGACTCCACGCTGAGCAAAAGTTCATGAATGTTTTTCCATGTTCACAAACTCTTTGTTCTTCAGAGTAGGAATAAGGTTATGTGTCCAACGGGAGTTTCTTTTTACATCGTAGGCATCTTTTTCTCTTTTAAAAAAAGAGGCACTGTTGTGAAATCCCAGCAGCACAGACTGTAAAGTGTTATTTAAAGCGTAGAGTAGGTAAAAATATTCCAACTTCTAGCAAAAGAGCTTCAGACAGGCTTTCAACAGCTGCTTAGTGACATAGAGAGCCGCAGAGTGCTCTCCCAGAGCGTCTGTCGAGTGGTGCTGGTTGAAAAAAAACAACCCTTTAACACAACGGTGAGCACACATCTCCTACCTGTGTGATCGAGGGTCGGCCCTTTGTGGACGGCAGGAGCCCCGTTGGTCTGGATGAGCCACTCTGCCCCCATACCGGTCTCTCTGGTCCAGCCGCAGAGCGACGAGAAATCAAAGTTGCAGGCGAACCACACGTACGCTGCAACAAAGTTGGAGTCGCATGTGAGTTTTTTGATGACAAAGGATGTTTTCAGTTAAGATGCTTCATGGTTGTTTACGAGACCTGAACTTTCAGGAGGATAAGGATTATAGCTGCGAGGCTTCTAGCAACACATGCAACAATGTCAGCTGTCTCCTCCGAAACACACGGTGTAATCTGACAATTTTTGTAAACCAACAATCTGACGCTCATTTTATGGCCAGTTGTGTGAAGGTGAGAAAGTATGCAGGATTTTATACCTGCCAGCATTCCCATTTTTCTCAGGTTTCTCCCCTATTTCAAGGCCATCTCCCCGCGCCCTCCTGCCTTGCTGTTTCTCCTGTAATTTTCACGGCCCTCAAACATATTATGAATAATCGTCATAAACGGATCCAATAGACAGGAACGTTTCCATTTCATACTTTTTGTAATTGTTTCTGTTTTGCTATGCAGTGCAGTAAAATACTCTCGTTTGTTGTTTTTTTTCTGCATTTTCTGCTATTACCTGAGACACAATGACCACAACCTATAATTGATGCACCAGCCTCCTGAACCAATTCTGCTAAAATATAATAATATAATGCGTTACACTCAGCTTGCAGTTTTACAGTAAAACCACATTCAAAACACCACACACATTTCTCATAGATGTAAACATAAAATGTACATAAATGTTCTGCTAAGATGTTCTATATATCTGTCCAGCTGCTGCAGAAATGCAGGACATTTGCCATCTTTCTGTTTTGAATGTGTTTTTAACAGTTTTGGACACAGTGTGTTAGCATCTGAAAAATGTGCTGTAGATAAACAGTGTTTTGCAGGTGGTGAAGTAGTCAAGAGAAAAGAGTTCATGGATTTTGGAGAAAGTGGTCACTGAATGCATTTTGTGTTAAAGCAATGAAAAATTATCCAGTTTGTCCACATACACTTCTGTTTTTCGCTGACTGTGTGAAGAGTTAAACTATCCAGAATTAAATGCTCCTAGAGTTCTTGTCTGCTGTACTGTACAACTCTCTGTTTAACAGAATGAAACTTTATCATGTACGGCGTTTACCCACTGAATTAGCTTCAGTCTGGAGGGGAAGAGGAGACGGCCTGAAGAAGAAACTACAACATCAATATCAGAACACTGTTCCTGCTGTATTGTACACGCAGTATAAATTGTATAGCTCGTGGAAAACTTATTGCAGCAAACAAAAGGCTTGTGCAGCTGGAATGGGGTGAGAAAGACAGAGAGACAGCTGCAATTGTACACGTCGTACAGCGCTGCAGGACACTTTGCTCTACAGCCTCAGTGGAAGACAGGAACTAAGACGTCACCACTGATAGAAAACAGCACCAACAAGTAGGCTACATATGTTTTGGATCAGGACATCGAGAGAGAGGAATGAAGGGACCTTACGCAGAGAAAGGCGTGGTGCCACCAGCATGCGGATGTGGGCCCCTGAAAAATCCCTACATTTCCCGACCTCCTTTCTGCCTGTGCCAGCAGTCGACTGGCGGCAGCGGTTCACCACAGCATCCAAGTGAATGCAGAAAACTCTGAACACTGGACATGTTGTTTCTGAGAGGCTAATAGGATGCAGAGATGACCCTGGAGCCGGTAACCCCCCCTCCAACCCCAAGCTGTCTTCATGCGATACTTCGACTCGGCTAATTGAGACCCAAGAGGCCTTTATCTCTCTCTCTCTCTCTCTGGCGCTCACTATACCTCACTCCAATCCTCTCTTTTACCTTCACTCTTCCTTTCGCTTTTTGCCTCTACCTCTGCATCCTTCTCACACTCTTCTTTCTCTCTCATCTCTATTCACTGATACTATTTTGCTACCTAGTTTTCCTTCTTCTGCTGAACCTACTTCCATATAACACAGTTTGAACCTCAAATGCCCTGAGCCGGATCCTTATAGTTCATTATTGTGATCAAGGAACTTGTTGTGGTAGGTTTGTGCTTTGGGTCGAAGATAAATCCAAAGGGGTCACAAGATGATTAAATAATAATAAATAGTAAGATATATAATTATTTGACTTTTAAATCATTTTCTTGCTATCTTCTGGTGAAATAGTGAATATCTTCACCTCTTTAGGCCTTAAAAATGCTTAAAATGGACTGCTTACAACTTGTGCACACAACCAAGGCCATAACCTTTGAAAAGGAGTAAACAGTGGGGTGCACATTGTTTTAAGGTGTCACAAGCCAAAAAGATCAGTAAGCACTGCTATAGTTCAGTCTGAGTCTCACATGAGCATTTGCTGCTACATTTAATTGCATTGCAATGTAGAACATGAGGTAAATAAAATAACCATTATGTCACAAATAACCATTTGTCTTTTGACAAACTGCCTGAGTTTTGTTGCTTTAACTCCATGAACAAGATATTTGTGTTGTACTGTTTCTATCTCTTCACAGTTTACTTTTTCTGAATCGCTTTTCCCTGCCCTTTAAAGTTAGCCTTTTTTTGATTTCTGCCTTTTCCATCTGTCCACCCTTTTTAGTTCAATTCAACTGGATTTACTGGCACGACCAATGAAAAAACATTATCAAAAACAATGCAAATGCATTTTAGAGCAAATCTATCAACACTGCAGTCCCGTTGTGTCAGTGCTGAGCAGTGTTCAGGTAAAATCTCATTTGTGAACTGGGGCAATGAAAAAGCCATTTACTCCCATCGAAGTCAGTTTCATTGTTCTTTGTGACTGCAGTCAGTAATTATGGTGACACTGAATGATGGGACCATTTGCTGAATTAATGAACTGATCTGGCAATCCTGAACTGGCACATTTATTTGTACATTTTTCACTTTAAAGTTACTAAGTACAGTGTACTTACTAATAACTGAAAGTTGAGAACAGTAAACATGGAAGCAGATTGTGGCAGACCTCACCTGGTAAGTCCATGATGGGGTCGGCCGCTGTGATGCCTCCAGCTATAGACAGATGGGACAGAGTGGGAGAGTGGGGTCAAAGGTCAGGTGGTTTGGCCCCATCCACACAGATGCCAACACATACTCAACACACCGAAAGATTTCTAGAAATCAATACCAAGCTTTCATGTCGGTTTGCACTGCAGAAAATATTTAAAAAATCAAAAAATCCAAAGCATGCAGTTTTTTTTATGTATCAATGTTTTTCAGAGAAAACTGAAATGGATTTCCAGGCAAAGTTCTCACAGCTGTAAAAGGGAAGATAAAGGAGAATTTTAAACAAGAATGGTGCAGTTAAGCTCTACTAAAAAATGCAAGATAGAATTAAAGTTAAACAGAAAATACCCTATTCCGTCAAACCTTAAACAGAGAGAGGGAAGATAAGGGAGAATTCTTTAGGTCTAGTTCATCGAGTTCCCCATCTGT